CAAGTGGAGGAATGTGCATTCAATTTTTTGTATCAATTTTGGAGATGTTTTTCCGGTGAAATTAATCATACGTGGAGTTTTAGGTATTGATATTTTTTTAGAATAGGGACGGGTGGGGTAAAATGGACACTTTTGACTTTTTTAGAAATATTTATAATTGACTCAGAAACAGATTTATCAATTGAGCTCGGTCTGAGTTCATCACAAAACAGAATAATTATTTTTCAATTGAAAAATAGAATTATTCCATTTCATGAAAAATTCAACACGTCATGGATATTTCAAAAAAAGTCGAAAGTTCGTTTTACCCTACCCTCGCCTATATGCGAATTATATCAAAAATTGAAGAAGGTTCGTTTTTATTTGATCTGGGGATTTTCCAAGTGGAGGAATGTGCATTCAATTTTTTGTATCAATTTTGGAGATGTTTTTCCAGTGGAATTAATCGTACGTGGAGTTTTGAGAATTGATAATTTTTTTGGAATAGGGGTGGGTGGGGTAAAATGGACACTTTTGACTTTTTTAGAAATATTTATAATTGACTGAGAAACAGATTTATCAATTGAGCTCAGTCGAAGCTCATCAGAAAGACGAATCATTATTTTTCAATTGAAAAATAGAATTATTCCATTTCATGAAAAATTCAACACGTCATGGATATTTCAAAAAAAGTCGAAAGTTCGTTTTACCCTACCCTCGCCTATATGCGAATTATATCAAAAATTGAAGAAGGTTCGTTTTTATTTGATCTGGGGATTTTCCAAGTGGAGGAATGTGCATTCAATTTTTTGTATCAATTTTGGAGATGTTTTTCCGGTGGAATTAATCATACGTGGAGTTTTGGGTATTGATAATTTTTTTGGAATAGGGGTGGGTGGGGTAAAATGGACACTTTTGACTTTTTTAGAAATATTTATAATTGACTGAGAAACAGATTTATCAATTGAGCTCAGTCGAAGCTCATCAGAAAGACGAATCATTATTTTTCAATTGAAAAATAGAATTATTCCATTTCATGAAAAATTCAACACGTCATGGATATTTCAAAAAAAGTCGAAAGTTCGTTTTACCCTACCCTCGCCTATATGCGAATTATATCAAAAATTGAAGAAGGTTCGTTTTTATTTGATCTGGGGATTTTCCAAGTGGAGGAATGTGCATTCAATTTTTTGTATCAATTTTGGAGATGTTTTTGCGGTGGAATTACTCATACGTGGAGTTTTGGGTATTGATATTTTTTTTGAATAGGGGTGGGTGGGGTAAAATGGACACTTTTGACTTTTTTAGAAATATTTATAATTGACTGAGAAACAGATTTATCAATTGAGCTCAGTCGAAGCTCATCAGAAAGACGAATCATTATTTTTAAATTGAAAAATAGAATTATTCTATTTCATGAACAATTCAACACGTCATGAATATGTCAAAAAAAAGTCGAAAGTTCGTTTTACTCTACCCTCCCCTATATCCGAATTATATCAAAAATTGAAAAAGGTTCGTCTTGATTTGGGGATTTTTCAATTGAAGACGATTTCAAAAAAATTGTTTCGTGAGTGGAAGAATAATCGCTCATAAATTATTCATGAACAAGTTGGCGATCTTCGAAAATTTTAGTGTCTCAATCACTTCATGAATTTCTCAAAGAGAAACTTTCTAATTATTTCAGATTTTCAAAACCATTTTTGATAATTGGAAATAGAGAATCAAATTCAACCGAGAAATAAGAAAAACATGAGTTTATGATATTTTTTTTTCACCTCCAAAGTTTAAATAAGAAAATCATTGTAGAATAATCAGTGATTTAACGTGGAGAAATAGAATGCGGTAATCACATTTTCATTGCGCTTATCGTGAAAAATATGAATAGGAAAGCATCGTTATCATTGAGAAATGGTAATGGGAGATCAACGGATAAGAGTAATTGTCTCTTTAATTGTTAATAAATTCGTCATATTGCGAATTTATTAGAACAAAACTGTACTATATTAACATAAAATCAATTTTCCAATTGTTTTGTGAAAGTATTTTGATTTCTCAATTATTGAGCCGTTCCTTCAACAAAAGAAAAATGATTTGATTGTTAAAAACCCTCAAATCCTGAACAATTTTCGAATTTTCAATAAATCAACAAAAAATTTCCTCACTCAAATCATTTCTATTAATTCCTCTTCCATAAAAATCGAATTTGCAATAGAAATTCCTCTTCAAGGAAGAAATTTCATTAAATTTAATAAAATGATATAAAACGATGAATTATATACTATAGAAGCAGATGATGTGCAAACTGACCATTCAGAAGCATATTACTAATTTATTAGCAAAAAACTATACTATATTAACATAAAAGCAATTTTCCAATTGTTTCGTGAAACTATTTTGATTTCTCAATTATTGAACCGTTCCTTCAACAAAAGAAAAATGATTTGATTGTCAAAAACCCTCAAATCCTGAACAATTTTCGAATTTTCAATAAATCAACAAAAATTTTCCTCGCTCAAATCATTTCTATTAATTCCTCTTCCATAAAAATCGAATTTACAATAGAAATTCCTCTTCAAGGAAGAAATTTCATTAAATTTAATAAAATGATATAAAACGATGAATTATATACTATAGAAGCAGATGATGTGCAAACTGACCATTCAGAAGCATATTACTAATTTATTAGCAAAAAACTATACTATATTAACATAAAAGCAATTTTCCAATTGTTTCGTGAAACTATTTTGATTTCTCAATTATTGAACCGTTCCTTCAACAAAAGAAAAATGATTTGATTGTCAAAAACCCTCAAATCCTGAACAATTTTCGAATTTTCAATAAATCAACAAAAAATTTCCTCACTCAAATCATTTCTATTGATTCCTCTTCAAGGAAGAAATTTCATTGAATTTAATAAAATGATATAAAACGATGAAGTACATACTACAGCAGGCGATAATGTGCAAAATGATCATTCGGAAGCTCATTGCTAATTTATTATTAAAAAACTATACTATATTACTCCAAAATCAATTTTCCACTTGCTTTCGAATAAGTTCTTTGTTCTCGTTTTTCCTCTATCTTCGATTGTGTTATTTTTCTGATCGTTTGAACGTTGTATTGGTGATCACAGAGGGGCCCACGTCAGCAATACAACTGTTGGACGAGATTTGCATAGCAAACAGATTGACGCGATGGATAAGTGGATAACGAGATCGAGAGAGAGGGACCCAGTGTTATTGGGTTCACCGGTATTTTCCTTCTCTTTTCATTCTGAAATAGACAAGAACGAAGTAGAACGGTTTGGGAGAGACGACAAGGGGTGGAATGGGGTGTCAAGGGGGTTTCAGTTTATGGTGAGTAAGCAGGAAGACGGCCTAGTCCGGTCCAGTCTAGTCTCCATTTGGCCGTTTTATTTCCATTCGGGGGAAGGATTGTTTAGGTTTAGGTTCGCGCAGTTTTTACGGGTGAGACACTTGGGGAAACCCTCGGCGGGCGATGGAGGGGATGTTTGACTTGCAAGGGCGTCGGGTATTTTGCGGGAGATGGAGTAACAAGTGAACGGCAAACTGCGGCGTTGCCATGACGACAGGTGAACCTAGAGGAGAGCCTGATGGTCTCGCACAGTGTCGACTTTTAACGAGAACATCGCGGGGTTTTTAGAGGGGTGCGGGGGGAAATTAATGAGGGGGGGCGGGACTTTGGGCTTGGATTTTAGATCGAATTTTCTTTCGTCCTTTTTTTCCACAATTGAAGAAAGTTTTTGTTTGTTTATTTTTAGTTGAAGGTCGAAGGATTGGTAAGGATGTTTGGAGGTGAGGGTTTTTTTGAGGGTCAAACGATCTTTGAAGAGGTGTAGGGTTCGGAGTCAAATTATCGTTACCATTACTCTACTCTGATCCCTTTGAGAGGCAAGAGTATTTTCGCACTGGAGGTCAAATGACCCTTTCACCCTTTTTTACTTCGGCAGACCCTTTAAATCATTTGACCTTTAACCTTGAATGTTTTTAAGAATTTTTTGACCCTCAATTCAGAATGTCCTTGAGGGTCGGTTAACCCTCAAGCCCATTTAACTGTCGACTTCAAATTTCTGAAAGAGTCGTTTGCCCCTCAAGACGAAAAAGGGTCAATTTTCTGTTTTTACGTGAGGGTCAAACAACCCTTAAAAATGTTTGGAGTTGAGGGCCAAATGAACCTTCCTTTTAACTCTACTTAAATCCATTTAACCTTTAAGATAATTTGACCCTCAACTCCAAACGTCCTTGAGGGTCGTTCGACCCTCAAAACCATTTAACCCTCAACTCCAAATTTGTTAAAGGGTCCTTTGACTCTCAAAACCATTTAACCCTCAACGCCACATTTTTTAGAGGGTCGTTTGGCTCTCAAACTGAAAAAAGGGTCGTTTTTTTGTTTTTAATCGAGGGTCAACAACCCTTAAGGTTTGGAGTCGAAGGTCAAATGAACCTTTCTTCAACTCTACTCCGATCCATTTGACCTTCAAGGCTACTTGACCCTCAACTCCAAATTTTTTCGAGGATCGTTTGTCTCTCAAAACGCAAGAGTCAATTTTTTTTTGTTTTTAATCGAGGGTCAAACGATCCTTAAGGTTTGGAGT